TTCACCTCAATATAGCACTACGTTGTGCAAATCCGGGGTTTCAAACCCTCAGGATATCATTTACTATCATTACTCACCTCAAGCCGGCCAAAATCCTAGCTCGCTATGCCCTTGCCTCGCAAATCGGCCTCCTCGCGCGTCGAATCTGACAAAAACCACAACGAATACGTCACAATAGGCTAAGGGAACATAACCCAATCGAAAAGAATCGAAAAACATCAAAAATCACGAAATTTGCAAAACCCGATCCCCGAGCCCACTTCTCGAATTTCAGAAAATTTTACACACACATCCCAAATCACCTAACGAAGCTACAGCAACTCTCGGAATTCCATTCCGACCCTCGGATCAAAATCTCACCTATCAACCGGAATTCGCCAAAATACTAACTTCGCCAATTCAAGCCTAATTCTACACCGGACCTCCAAAATTACTTCCGATCACGCTCCTAGGTCACAAATCATCCCCCGAAGCTAACCGAATCACCGGAAATCATGTCCGAGGCCTCTAACTCACAAGTCAACATCCGGTTGACTTTTTTAAACCAAACCTTCCTTAAAGAGACTAAGTGTTTCATTTCCTTCTAAAACCAATCCAAATCAACTCGCTCACACAAGACCCTTATAATTAAGCATAAAGAAGCAGGAAATGGGGAAAACGGGGCGGTAACTCACGTGACGATGGGTCGGGTCGCACATCCTCCCCAACGTAAACAAACGCTCGTGCTCGAGCGAGTCAGGAAACATACCTGAAGCCTCAAATAGGTGAGGGTATCTGCTCCGCATCTCCCGCTCGGTCTCCCAGGTAGCTTCCTCCGCGGGCCGACCTCTCCACTGCACTTTCACCGAAGCAACATCCTTTGACCTCAACTTCCGAACCTGACGATCCAAAATGGTTGATGGCTCCACATCATAAGTCAAGTCACCCTCCAACTGAACTGTACTGAAATCTAGAACATGGGACGGGTCTCCAATATACTTCCGGAGCATAGAAACATAAAAAACTAGATGCACGCCCGACAAGCTGGGTGGCAAGGCAAGCTCATAAGCCACCTCCTCAATCCTCCTAAGTACCTCAAAAGGCCCAATGAACCGCGGACTCAACTTCCCTTTCTTTCCAAACCGCATAACGCCCTTCATGGGCGAAACCTTCAGCAAGACCTTCTCACAAGCCATATAAGACACATCTCGAACCTTCCGGTCCGCATAACTCTTCTGACGCGACTGTGCTGTACGAAGCCTCTCCTGAATCAGCTTCACCTTCTCCAAGGCATCCTGAACCAACTCTGTCCCCAATAGCCTAGCCTCGCCGGGCTCGAACCAACCAACTAGAGATCTACACCGCCTCCCATACAACGCCTCATACGGAGCCATCTGAATGCTCGATTGATAACTGTTGTTGTAGGAAAACTCTGCAAGCGGCAAAAACTCATCCCAAGAACCCCCAAAATCAATAACACAGGCACGCAACATGTCCTCCAATATCTGAATGGTACGCTCAGACTGTCCGTCCGTCTGAGGATGAAATGCTGTGCTCAACTCCACCTGAGTACCCAACTCTCTCTGCACGGCTCTCCAAAACTGCAAAGTAAACTGAGTACCTCTGTCTGAGATGATAGAAATCGGAACACCGTGCAACCGAACAATCTCCCGGATATAAATCCCTGCCAGCCGCTCTGAAGAATAGGTAGTACACACAGGAATGAAGTGCGCGGACTTGGTCAGCCGATCAACAATCACCCAAATAGTATCAAATTTCCTCAAAGTCCGAGGAAGTCCAACAACAAAGTCCATAGTAATCCTCTCCCACTTCCACTCGGGAATATCCATCTGCTGAAGCAATCCACCAGGTCTCTGATGCTCATATTTCACCTGTTGACAATTGAGACACCGAGCCACAAATCCCANGGATTTTCAGTTATTTTTCATTTTTCAAAACCCTAAGACATAAGAGGCGATTTTTCAAACAACCTTTCTTCTCCAAAACGTTGGTAAGTGATTTCTAACTTATTTTCTTCACTCATTAACATCTTTTAACATGATTTCAACTTAAAATCAAAGATTTTCATGGGGGAAATTGGGTGTTTTGGGTAGAACCTAGGTTTTTTAAAAATTGGGGATTTGGACCTCGATTTGAGGTCCGATTTCAAAACAAATTATATATTTGAGTTCGTGGGGGAATACGTAATCGGATTTTTATTCGAACCTCGGGTTTTGACCATGTGGGCCCGGGAGCGATTTTGGACTTCTTGGGTAAAACTTTGGAAAACTCATTTTCATGCATTCAAATTGATTCATTTAGCGTTTATTGATGTAATTAAGTAATTTGTGATTAGATACGAGCAAATTGGCGGTGGAATCAAGGGGTAATGCGATAATTGAAACTTGAGTTGGCCGTGGAAGTTCGATGTAAGTGTTTGGTCTAACCTTAGCTTGAGTGATTAGGAGTTGAGTCCTATTTGCTATGTGGTATTAGTCGTGTACGACGTATAGGCATGGTGACGAGTATCTATACGTTGGTGTCTAGCATGACCGTGAGTCCTTATATTGTGAATATCTTGACTTCGTGGTATCTTTCATGCCTTGGTGATGATTTATATTTGTTGTGAAAATCTTGTGGAAGGAAATTGTGACCTTTGAACATCGAGGAGCATTGGCTCAAGTTATATTACAAAGTGTGAAGTATATGAGATGATTGAACCCTCTGGAGCACTGTCTCAAGTGGTAAAGTGAGTTATGAAATAAAAGTGAAAGAAAGAGAAAGAGTTATTAAATCGTTCCCTTACCGGGATATTGTTGCTTGTTGACTATCTCCCTTGCCGGGATGTTGAGATTATTGAGGTTGTTCCCTTGCCGGGATTTAATTGTTTAATTGTGTTCCCTTGCCAGGATTTCTATTATTATTTTATTATTTCCTTGCCCCGTTGTTTGTGATTGTTGTTTGGGTGAGGAAGAGTGTTAAAGCACGAAGGGTGATGCCGTGTATTGTTTGCTACTGTCAGGAAAGAGTGTAAAGCACGAAGGGTGATGTCGTGCCGCACGATGTATCATTTCGTGCCAATTCTATTGATTATATGTGAGGGAAGAGAGTAAAAGCACGAAGGGTGATGCCGTGCACATTTTATCATATAATTGCTTTGGTGAGGAAAGAGAGTAAAAACACGAAGGTTGATGCCGTGCACGTTTTTATTATAATTGCTTTGGTTAGGAAAGAGAGTAAAAGCACGAAGGGTGATGCCGTGCACGTTTTTATTATATCATTGCTTGGTGAGGATGAGAGTAAAAGCACGAAGGGTGATGTCGTGCACTTATTGAATTCTGATTCTTGTTGACCTTTTAGTTATGTTGTTCCTTTCCCTACTTGATGCTTTATTCGGAACTGTTATCTCCCCCGCAGCATGTTTTCCCCCTCCAATCTTTACTTGTTTATTTCTGCTTTATTTTCCGCTGTATATTATATAATTGCACAGGTTTATTTGGTAGTTTCGTCCTAGCCTCGTCACTACTTCGCCTGGATTAGGCTAGGCACTTACCAGCACATGGGGTCGGTTGTGCTGATACTACACTCTGCACTGTGTGCAGATCCAGGAGCAGCTTTCGGACATTAGTTGGAGGGCTTCCTTCAGTCTACCCGGAGACCCAAGGTAGACCTGCAGGCGTCCGCAAGCCCTGGCATCTCCCTCTATCTCTATTCCCTGTTTCATTTCCTTTGTTCAGAAACAGTTTATTGTATTTTTTTCAGACCTTGTATGTAGTGACTCTTAGACAGTCTCTGACACTGTGAAACCACATTTTGGGTATTTGAGGTTTCAAAAGCTGTAATGGACGTAGTCTTAAGATATATTACTGTTGACGTCCGCTTGTTTATTTAAAATTCCGCAGTTATCATATTATCGTCTGGTATCTTGTTAAAGAGAAGAGATATGAAAGTGTAGTAATTACGTAAGGTTGGCTTGCCTAGCTCCCATTAGTAGGCGCCATCACGACTCCCGAGGGTGGGAAATCTGGGTCGTGACACAAAGCCAAAAGAAATGATTCTACCGGAATGTTCAGTCTTCTTTCTCCGTCATATTCTTGGTCACGAATTTGGGCTTATTTCACTTTTGTTTCTCTAATTTATTATTTTTGGTGTAAAATTATCGGTCGATTAAAATAATTGGTTGTTGTTTGTATGTTTTCGTTGGAATAAAGGTATTGTTAGATGAAAGAGGGTGTTTATCTAGTGGAGATTTGGTGATTTTTCGCAGCAATTGTTGCTGCAATTTTGCTGCTTTTTTCGGCTAGCTCGGGATTAGTTTTGGCTCGACGGATATAGACGAAGCTCTGGAGGTTATGGGCAGTAAATTTTTTGATGAAAGGCGATATTTTTTAGTGATTTAAGGTGGCTTAGTTGGAGCTTTAGTGACTGATTTTCATGAAAGCTATGGTGGTTTCTTGGTGGGTTGCACTTGAAAGAAGAAGAGAGGCTAAGCTGAGGTATTTCATGTTTTTTCTATTTAAAAAAAAAATTAGGCTGCAAAAATATATCAGGCGCTATTTGGTTAGCAATCACACATATGCTACATCAGTGACATGTGTTTACTTGATCTGAGTAATAAAAACTTGAAGTGTCTAAATGATAAAGGGGTCAATTGAGATTTTCAGGTGGTTGTTGAGGACAACTTCAAAGGGCCGATTATGTATTTCGCCTAAAATAAATAAAAGTGTTACACTAAAACTACTAAGTTCGATCAGGAAAGGATATTATATATAATAGAAGGGGGTCTGCATATTTATCCAATCCCCAAATGCATCGAGGAGTATCTATACGTACATGTTAGAGAAAGGGGCGAAGCTAGAAAGCTAAGTGCGGGTTCGGCCGAACCCAGTAGCTTTGTTTCGAACCATGTATTTGTTTTAAAAAATCCATTGAATATGTATAAATTATTATTTTAGAACCCAGTAACTTAAAATAATTAAAATTCCGAACCCATAAGCTTGAAATCCTGGCTCCGCCTCTGGTTACAGAACTTCGCAGAGTCACGATTTATCTATGTTAAACTTAGAACCATCTTCAGAATTTACATTTGCAAACTGTAACTACATCACCTTGCCCACTGTATATAAGCTGTAGTCAGCTTATAACTACTCTATGGCTATAGTCAAACCGCTTATAATTAATTCACCACTAGTACAAAAGTACAAAAACTACAACAGAGTTATTACACACACACAAAAAGAGCTGTTACCGACTGCCATCGCAGGCGGAGCACCACGGTTCCTCCGCTCATCATGCATCGACCCGACCGCCTTCCTCTTCGTCCTCCTCTCTGTTTCAACATGGAAGATAAGAAGTGTTGTCACCTTCTTTTCCCTGCTCTTTCTCGCTCTCGTGTCGTTGCTCCTCGCACCGCTTGGCACTGGCGTTGCGAGTGACGCCCTTCGTGGGATTCTCTTTGACACTGCTTCTTGCACTTCATATAATCCTTCTCCGGATCGCCGCGATTCACCAAATGATTCACCAAATCATTTTCATCGTTGTTATTGTTGTTGTTATTATCAGTCCGGCTACCGCCGCCTGTAAAAAAGTCTAAAGTTGATTTAGATGGCATTGCGTCATTTCGCATTAACACGTTATTTATGCGCTCTCTCTTCATCTATTTCAATTTATATGAATGTGCACTCAAATCTGCCTTGATAGTCATGTGATTAAAAAAATATGTCATTAACAACAACCTGAATAATTTAAATTAAAATTTTCTTGAATACAAAAACTGTATAAGAAAATAGTGCATAGAACCCCCAAGAAAAATAGGTATATAGTTCGGTGCACCAAGCATTTCATGTTTTCTGAAGAAGAACCGTATGTAGGCAAACCTACCCTAATATTGGCTGATTCTCCAAATCAAACCTGTAACCTATAGATGGCATGCCACCTTTTGAGGCACTCTATGGATGCAAGTGCAGGACTCCCCTATGCTGGGATGAAGTAGGGGAGGGAGTCAATTTTACATAGAGCATAGACTCCCCTCAACATAAAGCATAGAGCACACGGAAAAAACATTCTTAATATGTAACAAATTCCTATGGCTTCGAGAAGAAAAAAAATGAAAAACTGGAATTATATGTAATAAAGTGTTTCTAGCTCTAGCTAGTTTAAAATGAGCTTCTCATATATGGCATAGAGAAAGTACATGTTTACAGCAACTAATCTTATTCTATTACTATAGAAATTACAATATTTTATAGATCATACCTAAACCTAGAATTATAGCAAAATATACTGTAGAATCATAGTTAATCCTATACTTATGCAATAGTATTCTACAGAATCAAACCCAATTCATTCATAATTAAAATATAACTGTATCACCACCTTGTTCATGTTCTCTTCTCTGCTTCTCACGGTGATATTCCTTGCACATTTCAAGACATTCTTTCCTCTGATGCTCGTCGAATTGCTTTTGGACCTTGCACTGGTGTTTACATTGATGTAGTTCTGGATCTTTTATACCCAAAACTGGGTTTGTGATTGTGAGGAAAACAACAACGAGAACTAAATAGAACATAGGCCTCGTCATTTTCTGAACTCTAATATATTACGGTTTTTCTTTAGAAGAGGAAGAAAATCTTTAATAGTAGCAGTAATTAATTACATTGATGTAGTTTTGCTAAAGCGCCATGCATGAAGACGGGTGTCAAGTGCTTGTTACGTGGCCATATAAGATAAAGTTTGTCAACGCGATATCAAGCAAAACTTTTTTTTTTTTTTTTTGGTTGAATATACGCTTACGTTAGAGAGAATCTTGCCAAATTAAATCGAGGCTATGCAGATTTTGTCTCAACACCAACATAATATGGGGTCTAAGGTAAAAATAAAAAGTAAAGTCTTAAATTTTTTAGTAATTTTCTTACTCTTATATACAAACTTTAAAAAAATTATAATTAAGTTTTAATTATTGTCAATATTTAATTAATTATTTAATTTCTCTTGTGTTATCATGTTGAACTTTATTGATTTAGTTTTGAATTTTTTTTTCAACCGAGGAAACTGATATAAAAATTATTAACGGTAATTGAATTAATACTTTTTACCTGATTGAGTTTTTCAACTAGAGTATTCTTCTACTTATATTATTTCTCTTTACACTTTTAATTTTAAAAATAAGTTGAAACAAACAATACTATAATAACTACTATGTTTTATGAGTCATTTAATGCTAAGAATAAATTTTAATAGTTACTTATCAAAGTAGCTTGAAAAATGTCTACAAAGACACTCAAAGAATTAAAAGAAATTGTTCTAACACTGTAAGAAGGTCGATGTAAGTTGGGACGAAATAAAGACATGAAACAACTAGTAACTATAATTTAAGATGTATAAAACTCTTAGCTATTACTATTTTAACTAAATAATTTTAAAAGTGCATAATTATTAAATATTATATATATTATTTATAGATTTTGGGGCCCTAGGTATTTTGGGACCTAAGGCTATTGCCTTAGTGGTCTTAGGCTTTAGCCGGCCTTGATCTGACTGCTATCATCATCTGAGTTGAGCGACTCGCCCAATCAACTTCCTTATCTTAAAAATCCAAAAAATTTACGAGATTAGTCAACAAATCGATTATTATACGCTCATACTTCTATTAATAAATACAAACATTAAAAGAAAGGAAAACAAAGAATTTGAAGAGTTGTGAACATTAGCTGAAAAGAAAACCAAGCAAAATAAATCGCCTAAAAGCAAAGTATGTAGGTTTGAAACAGAAAAATAAATAAAAAGGAGCAAGAGAAAAATGAAGAGAAACAAAAGGAATAGGTAGCTTAAAGTATTTGATAGGCGGAGCTAGAGAAGCAGATAGGGGTTCGAGCGAACCCAATAGCTTTTGCTTAGACCTTGCATTTGTACTAAAATCGTACTAAATATGTATAAATATGTAATTGCGAACCCAGTAACTAAACGAGATATGGGTTCGATGATAATTTTAGAACCGATAAACTTTATATCCTGACTCCGCCTCTAAATGTAACGATCTGACCGATCATTTTGAATTCTAGCGCGTCGTCGGCATTTTGAGGGCTAGAGTAGCTTCGGTTTATGTATTATGACTTGTATGTGTAGTCGGATTTGAATTTTGGGATGTTCGGAGTTGATTTGGATGGAAAATTCTCAATTCGGAAGCTTTAAGTTGAAAGAGTTGACCAAGTTTTAACTTATGAGTAAACATTCCCAGAATCGGGATTTGAAGGTTCAAATAGTATAATGGACTTGGGCGTATATTCGGGTTGAGTATCGATTTTCCAGGAGCATTTCGACACTTATTGTGGAAAGTTAGTAATTTGAAGGTTTTAGAATTTCCTGAGTTCGAGTTGAAGTGGACTTTGATGTTATTGCTATCCGTTTGGTATTCCAAGCCTTGGAATAGGTTCGTATTGTAATTGTGACTTGTACGCAAAATTTGGCGTCATTCCGAAATGTTTAAGTATGATTCAAACGCGTTTGGCGAAGGATGAAGGTTTGAAAGTTAAGAGAGTTTAAGAATTGAGTTTGATCTTTATCTTGGTTTTGATATTATAATTTGTGTTCCGAGCCTTTGGACAAGTTTACATAAGGTATATAAACTTGTTTGAATGATTGGATGGGTTACTCGGACCTCGAATGATTTTGGGGTGGTTTCGGACCACTTTTAGGCCTTTTTGGACTGTTGATCTCTAAATGAAATGGTGTGAATCGCGATCGCAGACGTCTGAGCAACAATTGCAAAGACCAAAGTGCAATTCTGTCCTTGTGAATCACGATCGCGTAAGGAAGGTCGCGATCGCAAAAAAGGAATTTTTCTTGTTAGTGGTCTGACTTAGAGAGCTTAGATCTTGCAATCTATAAGAAATTTGGGGATGATACAAAAACAAAAGAAGTAGCCCTTTAAATCTAGTTTTTCGAGAATCAAATCGTTTGGCATCTAGAATTTGTACAAAAAGTGATGGCCATTATACCGAAAGGTGTCTGTGAAGAAGAAAACATAATTTGTATATCGCGATCATAGGATTTTGGCCACGATCGCGATGAAGGAATCGATGCTGGAACTTTTGTTAACTGCAATCGCATGGATAATGACCACGATCGTGAAAAAGGAGGTATTGAAGGTGTATTAAACATCTAATTTTGGGATTTTGAGATTATTTCTTCACTTTTAAGTTGTTGGAGCTCATGTGGGGTGATTTGGGGTGATTCTTGAAGAACATTTTCACAATATATCATAATGTAAGTTATTCCTGCATGTCTAATCGTGTGAGGGGAATTTACCCTGTAGGTGTTATATTTATTATGTGCTACATGTTGTGGGAGCTACGCACATATGAGGTGACGAGTATTCGTGCGTATGCTAGAATTCCTAATTATGTCCAGGTAGACTTAGACTCACACCATGCTTAAATTGTACTATTTGAGTTATTCGTGCATGTTTAAATGCTGTAATTTACATATAGCCTAAAACTAGACTCGCATAGAGATATTGGACTTGATATTCTAGATACTTGACGAGCTACTTAATTAGCCATGAAATTGTACTTTCCTTTATGAATTTCTTCCGCGTTGTCCGTATTCGTCCAATAGTTTTTCTTGAATTTTATAACTCCCACGTATATTCTTGAGTGGGGTTAGTGACCTGTCAGTGTCTAGTAGTCTAAAGGGATCGGGCTGGACGCCTCAGCAACATTCTTATGGGATCGAGTCGTTCGCCTCAGCAGAGTAACATAATCCTATGATATCTGGCCATTCGCCTTGGCAATATCGTGTATCATATTCTTATGGGATCGGGCCATTCGCCTCGGTAGAGTTATGTATCACACTTTTATAGGATCGGATCGTTCGCCTCGGCAGTATTATGTATCACACTCTTATGGGATCGGACCGTTCATGATTACGTATTACACTCTTATGGGATCAGGACGTTCGTCTCGGCAGTTCTATGAAACACTCTTATAGGATGTTTGCCTCAGTAGTTCTCTAAAAAACTCTTATTGGTTCGGGCCGCCCGCCTCAGCAAAATCGGGTGATATACTTGTTAAGGAGCCCACATACTCATGAGTTTCGTGACTTGAGATGTGATCGTTGATTTCGTATTGACCATTATGTATTATACATGGAGCGATATCCGATTATTGAGGACTTTGTGTTCACTGTTTGGTTACAGGCTGTATTATTTGCTTATATATCAGTTCTCACTGTTTAGTTACCACGTTTCATAATTGTCTACCATATTATACTTGATATTTTATACCACTCGTAAGTGTCAATGTCGATCCCTCATCACTACCTCTTTGGGGTTAGGATAGATACTTACTGGTTATGGGTTGATTTACGTACTCACGCTATATTTATGCACTTATTGTGTAGGTGTATCTCTGATGTACATTTAGATGCATTGTCGCGGTTGTTGAGCTGCATTCTACGCTATGATTCGCATCACATGGAGTCTCCATCTTATTCTGTTATTATATCTTCTCTGTTTTATATTCCAGACAGAGGATGTGGTAATTGTTCTAGTAGATGCTTATGCACTTGTGACACCAGATTTTGGGATATTCAAGTTGACACTAATGGCTTGCTACAATATTGTCACCTTTTATTTCATTTCTTACTAGCGGTGTATGTAAGAATGATTTTAAATGCATTAAATTCTTTATGTAATAATACTTGTGATTTTAAAAGTAATAAAATGAAAAATTAATTGGAGGCTTCACTGTTGGCTTGCCTAATAGCGACATTCGGCGCCATCACAACCTATAGCGAGAATTGGGTCGTGAAAGCTTGGTATCAGAGCACTAGGTTCACTTAGGTCTCACGAGTCATGAGCAAGTCTATTAGAGTCTTATGGAACGGTACAGAGGCGTCTGTACTTTATCTTCGAGAGGCTACGTGGCCATTAGGAGAGCTTCCCTTCCTTGATTCCTCATTGTGATTTGATTTCGTTAAAGCTTATGCCTTCGGTTCCTTCCTACTCATTCGTACGTGACGTTGGGCATTTGTTATTAGTTGGGCACAAACGAGTTGTGAAGATGCTTTAGATGCGGTGCATGATGATTTTCCTTTTGAATGCGACCAGACCATTATCGTTGCCTTGTGGAGGATTGTATTGTCATTTCAGCCCAGTGTGGTGTTGCCTACGGTCGAGATTTGATATTTTCGAACTTGGTGGAATTTTTGTTTGTGCGGCGTCATCGTCGCCCTTATTTGAATGCAATAAGGCTCATTAGTATGATGGTCACCATTTATTTTCCTTTTGGGCATGGTGTTGTGAAATGGTACCTAAGAAGAAGTTATCAGAAATGGCTGTGTGTTGTGACTTCAGGATCGAATCCACATATCTAGTGTAAAATGGTTTGTGGGAGATGATCCTTGAGGTGTTTTCTGTACTTAGGAAGTTCAAATGTGACAAGAAGGGGCTTGATCGGAATATAGGAAAAATGTGAATATTTGATCATCGTTTTGGGATGCAGTATGGCCCTAAGTTTTAAACATATTGTTGGACTTTTAGTTGATGCTAATGGGGTGAACGAACTTTTGCATCTGGTGGATGAATGTGGACCTAGTATAATCACGTAATTTCATAATGGATGTGGTTATGGC